TTACGTCCCCACCCTGTCCCAAGTGGCTCTGTTCTTCTCTTTCTGGGCCTCAGCAGATCATTTGCATGTGAAAAGATGGAGAATAGCCATAAAAAATCGTCACCATATGAAAGTGGGTCTGAACAGGAAAGACACCGCGCTCGCTTTGTCTCATGAGCTGCCCCCTCCCCTTCGGAGTAAATACTGTTCCCGCTTCCAGGTTCAAGATGAAGAAGCGACTGTGGAGAGGTTAAGTGACTAGTTCAAAGACTCACAGCCCCTAGCCACGGGGGCGGAGACTGGAGGCCACAGCCGGAGCCCCCCTGGCCTCTGGGGCAGGGCCTCCGCACGCAGCGCCCGGTCCAGGGTCCCGTCCATCCCTTGGCCTGGTGGGCACAGGGCAGTTGGGAAGTGGGCTGCGGCTCATGCAGGGCCATCAAGGTTGAGAGCCCATTGCACGCGGGAAGATAGGGTTGAGCAGGGGGTGGGCTGGGGGCCAACTCTGCTCAGAGCCAGGCCTTCTTCTCCTCCGCCAGCCGCCCCACCCAGCCTCGCCCGGCACCCGCTGCTGCCAGAGCCCAGAGGTTTCCTTTTTCTTTTGCCTAGGGTTGTTTCCTGCCTTTCCTTTGAACTGGGGTGTTGGCTCCTCCACGCACTCACCCTCCTCCAGCGACCCCCCAGGACTGCCCTCTGATGGCCCCGTCCCCCCGGGCTGCCCTTTGGAGGAAGGCTGGCACCCCGTTTCCTGGAATCACTCTCCCCGGCTTTGCCCTCCTCCTCTCTGTCCTGGTCTGGGCACCGTCCGGATCCTCCCCCTTCCCTCAGTCCCTTCCTCTACTGCCCACCTCCGCCATGCAGTTCTCCCTGGAGGCTTTCTCCATCCTGCCTCACGGGAGCAGGCTCGGGACTGATTTCCCCCTGTCTCTCCCACTCCAGTTTTTCCATGAAATGTGTAGACACTGAGGTCCAGAAAAGTATGGGAGCTCGCCTCACAGCAACGGAGGGACCGAGGATTAGAACTCACAGACCCCGAGTTCCAGGAAGGCAGAGATGCTCAGGTTCTTCAAATCTACCAGAAAGGGAAACTGAGGCCTAAGCCAGGAAGGGTAGCCTTGGAGGTGAGACAGGAGACCAGGCACACTGAGCTCCCGGGTTCATCCTGCCCAAGGCCAGCTCTCATCCACTGAAGCGGCTTGTTCATGCTTCATGTTGGGAGCAGCCTGACTAGCATGCTTCATGTTGGGAGCACCCTGCCCAGAAGGGCTGCCCCTCTCTTAGCCCCTGAAGCAGTGGGTGATGGAGACAGATGCTCAGGGCCAAGTACAAGTGTAGGAGTCTCAGACCTTTTACAACTTGCCTCCCAAAAAGGCTTTTCTCCCACCACCCACTCCTGATATGGCTGGACATTGGGAGCAAAATGAGGAACACAGAGTAACTACCTGGATTCTCCCACTCAGGGAAACCTCTGAGACTTAGCCAACCAGTATTTGCTCTCTGGGCATTCCTGTCCCTTCACTGTGTGTATGTGGGGTAGAATACAGCAAGAGGCATCATGTCTTTGTGTCACCATCAGACTGGGATGCCCCAGAGCTCTACCTCCTCCAGATGGGTTCCCAGGACACCCTACTCAAGAAGAAGGTCCAAACCCCAGGGAAACTCATGGCAACTCAGTTTGGGAGAACACTTCAAAAAATGAGAGACACTTGAAAATTGTGGGTATTTCAAATCTGACCTCCCAAGCTTGATCAAACAGAGCTGGCATTGGGCCCCAAAAGAATCATAATTTTTGGACTTAGGTGTCAAAGCAAAGGTAGCAGTTGGGTATAAAGAAGACTTTCCAGTCTTTGCTAGAACCAGATGGAGGAAGGTAGAGGTGTGTGCACCATGAGAGGTCACTGGCTAGAAGGACAGAGCCTCACCTTACCAGGGTGAGGAGGCAGATGTGAAGTAATTTTGATTGGGGTGGGTCTAGGACCGCCAGGTATCTTCTGGAGTCCATAGTTCGTTGGTGCCTCCTATGGTTCAATCTACGGCCCCTTCTAAGAATCTTCAGGTACCCTCAGGCCTGCCACTTCCTGTACACCCAAGTGCTTTAATCTTATCTTTCACTTTCTCCACCCAGTGTCAGGAAGATGTAAGTGTCCCCTCCCCTCCCATCTCCACCCCTACTGTCAACCAACACCTTGGACCCCAGAGCCCCCAAAAAAACCAAGCATTGACCAAGACCAGCACCTGCAGATTACTTCCTAGCACACACCTCTCTTCTTCCTGCCACAGACCATTCCCTTTGGGTTCATTTTATTTGAATATTTTATTTATTTATTTATTTGAGAGAGAGAGTTGGTGGAGGTGGGGAGAAACAGAGGAAGAAGGACACGCTGACTCCATGCTGAGTGCAGAGCCCAGTGTGGGGCCTGAGATCATGACCTGAGCCAAAATTAGGAGTTGGACCCTCAACTGACTGAGCCAGCCGGGTGTCCCGCCCTCGAGTTCTATACCCACCCGTGGACTCAATTTCCCTCCTGTGTGAAGTGTCCTGGGGGCTTGTTCCCACCTCCACTGCACACCCAACAGCAGGCATGATAATAATAGTCGCTATTTCTACATCACCCCTTGTGTGTCAGGCACTGTTCTGGGGACTTCTTACAGACATATTATCTCACTTAATCCTCCCTGCTACCCGCTTGTCTCTGTACACAAATGATGAGCCCAAGGCTCAGAGGAGTTCAGTGACTCAGTAGGTGGCAAAGCTGGGAAGGAACCAGGGTTTGGGGGCCCAGAGAGAGAAGCCCCGCTGGTTCCATCATCAGTCTGCACCGTCCTCCACTAGGGCTGGGCTCCTCGAGGCGGGGCCAGACTGGGCATTCCCGGACATTGCTGAGAAGGAAGGGAGCTCCATGACCTCCCTGCCCTCACTCTTCTCAGTGACAAACCCTCCCTCCTGAGAGGCAAAGGAAGAAGGCTCATTCTATGAGCCACCCTCAGGCCAGCTGCCCCCAGCAGAGACCCCTTCATCCACTACCCACATGGGACCCATCCGCAGCCCAGGGCAGCAGCTGTGGTTCTCTACCACCTCCCTCCAGTATTCCAGAGCCCATCACTAAATCCCCCACATTGCCTCAGGACCCTACTCCGTCTCCTCCCCTCTCCCACAGGTCTGAGTCTTGGGAGAGAAAGCCTTCCTCTATTTCCACAGTCCCATAAGACAAATTCTGAAGGTGCCACCTCCACTGGACCCAGATGCAGACCTCACAGCCCCAGGGAACTGTGACAAGGCAGTGGAAAACCTTCCATCAGCATAGATGCTGGGATGCTTGGATTCCCAAGGTGGCATCGTACCTCTCTTACCCCTAGTTCTTCCAGAAAAAGGGTCCATCTGGAAAGACAGGTCCTGAGAAAGGAGGCTGGAGCACCCAATTTCTGGAAGGCCCCATTCCCCACCCCCATGCAACCCAGAAAAAGGCCCTTCCTTCTGCTCCCCTGGAGAAAGACAGATACCATTGCCAAATGCTTTCTAGCCCCAGAACCCTGTCTTCAAATGAAGCAATGTCATATACCCCCAAGATATAAAATGGCTAAAAGTGGGGCTGCCCTAGCTGTTGCAGACATGGGGGCCAGGGCCAGTCCTCCTCTGGCAGCTGTGGGGACACCCTCCTAGCCCCTCAAGGGACTCACAGGGTTTACCCCTGCCTTCACCTCCTGGGCTCTGAAGGTTTCAGTTTGCCCTTTTGGAATACGAACACTATTTTCTCCTCTCACTCTCTGCCCTGGTCCCCAGCCTGTGCCTCTTGAAGTCAAGAGGGACATCCAGCTAGGGACAGAAGGACTGGGAAGGGAGGGAAGGATTGCAATTCAGGGCCCTCCACAGGCCTCCAGGACAGCCCCACAGCTGATTGCGCTGATCCCATCTAGCTCAACAGACACCTGCCGGACTCCTGTGAAAACTAGCCCAGCCCCTCTTCCTCAGGGCTCCCAGGTCCTGGAGCCCCGGAGCCTGTCCCTGGGACAGATGGTCCCAGACTTTCCCACCTGAACTTCTCTGAGAAAAGGTGAAGGAGCCTAGGCAGGGCTGGGGCCGGGGGTGGGGGTGGGGGGCGCAGATTTCCTCCACAGAGCTGAGGTGGGTGTGGGGTTAGGTGGTCTGTAATGCGCTGTCACACCTTCCTCTTGCCCAGGTGGGAGCAGGGAGTGCTTCCAGCCCTCAGGCTCTGAGGGGGAAGCTCCTCTGAGCCTTCCTTGGGACAGCTGTCCCCAATAGGGTCCCCTCACAAGTCCATCTTACCCCAACTCAGCTCTAAAAATGGTTCTCTGGTTTTCAGCCTTGGCGCCTGCCCACAAATTAGTGTCTCCAACACGGCCTCTTGGGACATGACTTCAGGGAGGCCCCTGGGGGAGCTGGGAGGCCTCAGCAGAGGGAGATGGTGCTGGCAGGGGCGCTTTTGGAGAAGCCAGGAGTGATCAAGGCCCCTCTCTCAGCTTCTGGGATAACCCCCCACCACCACCAACCAGGCCACCCAGCCTCTGTGTGACAGCTCTGCTCTCCTTGCCATGCAGAGGAACAGACAATCTCTGCACCCCACTGGAGGCCCTCCTCTCTCCTCTGTCACCAAATCAGTCAGCTTCACGCTCAGCCCCGGTCCTGGGCACTGCTGCGCTGGGGAGAAAGCAGCAAGAGGAGGGCAGGCCAGCCCCGGGGCCCTCCAGCTTCAGGGTCCAGACACCCACCTCTTACCAAGTCCGAGCTCCCACAGTGAACCCACAGACAGGGGCCACTGAGAAACCAAGGGAAGCCCAGCCTCACCACTTGTCTGATCCGCAGTCTCAGATTCTCCCTCCCCCCACCCCCCCATCCGGCCCCCCTGACCGCTGTCCCGCTGCAGTCCCCTTGGAAGGGGACGAGCCCTCCCCGGATGCCCATGCCTCCTGGCAGCACCCTGGCAGGTGCCCTAGCCTGAGGCCGAGGCTGGGCGCTAGCGGGCGGCCAGGCGGGAGCAGGGAGGGACGTGCGGGCTAGTACTCACAGGTAAGCCGTCAGGGGGTCCAGGTCCCCGGGCACGGCGGAGAGCCCAAGCTCCGAGCAGTCGGCCGACAGCATGATGCCGTCCTCCTGGCAGTGGCAGGGGGCCGGGCAGGCGGCGGACCCGGGGCCCGGCTGGGGGGCGCCTCCAGCGCACGGGGAGGCGCACAGCGCGGCGCACAGCCACAGCGTCCGCAGTCCGGGCGGGCTGGGCATCTTGGCGGCCGGAGCACCTGGCGGACCGACCGGCGGACGGGCAAGCGCTCCGGCGCGGTGACGGCCGCTGCTCGCCTCTGGGTCCCGCGGCCGGGCCGGCGGGCTGTGCCGTCGGTGGGGACCGCCCCGCGGGCTCTGCTGGGTGTCGGCGGCGGCGGCGGCGCGGGGACCGTGCAGTCAGAGAGGGGCAGGCATTGTTGAGTGATCTTCGTTATTCAGTTTCACAGGCTGGGCTTGGCAAGGGAGGGAGACACAGGCGGAGGAGGAGTCAAGGAAACTTTCTGCGCTGTGGCTCGCTCCCCTTCCCTCCTTCCTTCCGAGCTGGCAGGAATTTCATCCAGGAAAGAAAAAAAAAAAAAAAAAAAAAGGCAAAGAGAGACTCTAAGAGAGTGAGCAGAGATGGCATGTTAGGGACCTGCTCTTGCACTTGTTTGGAAACCATGGGATGTCCCAGGACCTAGGCTTGCGGGCTGGGGACCCTCTTGCCTGCGGGGTCAGCCACGGGTCCCAGGGACTTGGAGGAGCCTCTCTGGAAGCAACCTTAAGAGTTCCCGTGAGCCCCCAACCCCTCTACCACATTTTCCACGGAGACCCAAGAGGGAAGTGATTTGTTCAACGTCGCATGGCTTGGGGAGGAAGGGGATCCCCAGAACTGGAATTCAGGGCCTGTCCTTGTCGTCGTATCTCCTGGAGGAGGGAAGTAAGGAGTCATCCTGAAAGGGGTCAGGTGGTGAAATGTTCCACCTTATGCAAGGAGGGGGGCAGTGGGCAAAAAGGAAGGGCCTTCTCACTGAGCCCATCGAGCCCTGCCACCAAAGAAAGTGCGGATTTCCACCCAATGAATGTACTTTGCATGCATGCAACCCCACTCAGGTCCAAGGCCCTGGGATCAACTGGATCCTGTCCTGGGGACCAAACTAGGTAGACACTAAGCTGGGCTGGTTTATCAGAGGCTTCCTGAAAGTCAGCGGATGGGCGCCACCTGGAGTCCAGCGCTGTAACTGCAACCCAGCCGCCCTGAGGCTGAGCTGGGGGCGGGGGGGGGCGGGGGGCGTCTTCTGGAGAATCCCAGGGCCTTGACAGGCAGGGCAGATGGTGGCTAAGGGGTGCATGAAGTATCTGCTCTCTTCTTAGACCAGACTGAGCTGGCCGTGCTTCCTTCACGTAGCCTTTTGCTTTCTCTGTTCTCTTCCACGCTGAACCAGACCCCAGTACAGAGCTAGAGCCTGCCCTGTCTCTCATTTGGGCTCTACCTTCCTGTGGCCCAACCAGAGAGTATTCCCCAACGCTTGGAGACTCAGAGGCAGCCATTATTCCTTCTACCCCATACCTCCAGACCCCTTCATACCTCACATCAACCACTCCCCCCCCAATCCTGTTCTCTGCCTCTGCTGTTAACCCCCAAGGTCCCCAGGTCAGCCAGCAGATCCTGACCCCAGGCTCCAGTTGGGGCCATGGCCCTGAATGGGGCTGAGCCCCCTAGGAAGGCCAGAGAAGGTCCTGCACGGATGGTCCTGGCTCTCATTACCAGAAAAGACCCAGAAATGCAAGCCGCCCCTGCCTTCCCAGATCAGCCTCTGTTTCCGGCCTCACTCATCCATAGCTTGGCTCCATTCCCCTGCCTGTTTGCAGCTCCCGCTGCTGCAGTGTGAGGGGCCCAGACTGGAAAAACCATGCTTGAGCCCTGTTTCAACCTCAGCAGCAGCCCTTCATGGAGGGTTTTGGGGGGCTCAGAGCTAGTCTCCAGCCCGCCAATTTAAGGGTCATGGTGGGGCCAACCTCTGGGACTCCTAATGAAGTTTAGAAGAGGCCATGACCTCCATTCCTCCTGGGGAGCACCAGAGCCTAACCTCATCCTGGGAAGGGTCCTGATGGAGCAGAGAGCCCTTCCTCTGTTCCTCTTCTCCAACCAGGCCTGAGAAAGTCCCTCTCTCACCTCTGACCCCTCGTACTTTACTAGGAACTCAGGTTGGCCAGTGAGAGCTCTGCCTCCTCTTCCATTTGGGGATCTAACTGCGTCTCAGGGCCTCCCACTCTGATTTGTCCAGGCTCTCTCTGTGCCCTGACCCCCACCCCAGGGCCTTCCACCAGGGACAACTGATGCTGAGTATCGGGCACCTCGCTGTTCAAAATTGTGCGGTCTAGTCTGGGAGTCAGACAGGAGCTCATGAGGCCATATCATGCCATGTGGTGTGCAGTCCAGTCCTACAGGGTGGGACAGACTGCTTTCTCCCAGGTCCTCAACCCCACCCTATTTTCTGTTTCTCCTCCCGGTTTTCCTCCCTTCCAAAATTCCCTCCCTGCTTTCTCTCCTCCCTCCCTCCTATGGCGGAGGGGAGGAAGGAGGGAGCGAAGGAGCAGAGAAAACTTGGCCACTCTGGCCTGAGCAGCAGCCTCCCATGAAGCAGCAAAGCCCCCAGCTCCTGCCTTCTTCGTAGGTAAGGCTGCGGTGCCTGCGCCCTGGGGGCAGCAGAGAGGGGTTGAGGGCGACCCTGTGGACACTGGCAGGTAGAGATGGCTGGGGATGGCGGGAGAAGGCAAGCAAACGCAAGAAGGAAACACCATTGGTCCTACTGCATACAGGGGTAGGAGGTGGGGCAGGAGAACCCTGAGTAACCAGGGCTCTGAATCTGGGGCACCCCAAGACTCTAGAGACTCAAGTCTAAGGCCACTGGAAAGCTGGAAGATGAGGCAGCAGGGTCTGCTCCCCAGGAAAAGCCATCAGCATGCAGGGGGCAAGTCAGACCCTTCAGCCAGACCCTACCCTGCTCAGGGTTGCCCACCAGGCCCTCCCATTGGGCCCCATGTTGCACAAGTCTTAGAGACCATTCCTTTCCTCTATGAAGGGTGGACGGACAGAACACATTCAGTCTCAGGCTTGACCACATTCTTTATTCCTCAACTCTGCCCGTCACAACACAAGAAGCCAGGCCCCAGCGGGTGTGCTGAGGCTGCTGGTCCCTGCCTGGCAGGGCCCAGACCTCTTCTGTTCCCTCATGAGCACGGTGACCAGTGCTGACTCAAGGCAGCCCGTCCATGAGTGCGCTGTTCAGACAGTTGTAGAGGTATATATACTGCTCCTGGGGGCAGACGTGGGGGAAGGAGCTTCACCCTGCCTGCCACATCTGGGGCAGAAAGTCTCCCTTGGCGTCTCCCAACCCTTAGGCTTCCATCTCAGAGCATCGTGGTCCCCAGCACCACCTAGTGGCTGCCCAAAGCACGCTGCCTAAAGACGGCTCCTGGAACCTTCCCTGCCCCCTCACCCCTTCCCACAGCTGATCCCTGGGGGCCTCTCACCAGTGTTGGGGTCATGAGGCCACAGGCCAGTGACTGCTGCAAGGCCATGTTAAAGATGTCCACGGTGCACTCAGCCCCCGCCTGCTGTAACAGCTGGTCCATGGCCAGGAAGGTGCCCAGCTGGGCCACACCCTTGCTGCAATTGACCTCTGGTCGGATGGGGTCCAGGGCAGGGGGAGGGGCAGAGAACGCTGGGCTATCCAGGTATATGGGGAAACCCCACCTGGGCCTGGGGACTGGGAAGGGACCCCTGGGCACCTAGTGGGCCAGCAAGCCAGGGCCTGAGCCAGGAGGGGGTAAATTCCTAAAAGATGTCATACTCCCCAGAGATATCAGGGCAGAGTAAGGAGATGGGAGCACTGGGAAAGTGTGCCCTTTTGACCCATGACCCAAGTCATGGGATGAGATGTGAGGGCCTGCCGCAGAGGCAGTGAGGGGGTTCGGGCACCCACTCCCACACCCCCCTCCCAGCCCTTTCTTTGTCCAGCAGCACCTGGAGTGGCTGAGCAGCGTGCCCGGCTTTGTCTTGTCCCGAGAGCAGCACCGGCCCACAGCAGCCAAGAAGGGCAGCAGGGTGGTGGCCGGGAGCTCCCGCCCTGGCTCCCAGCACGGGAACAGCAGTCTTTGCACCTGCCTCTCCTTCCTGCTCTTCCCCTGGGGGCAAAGCCATTGGCACCAGCCCAGGGAGGAGCAGAGGAAAACCAGCACAAGCCTCTTCCCCACACAGCCCAGCACCCCTCAGCCTGTGGGCCCAACACCTACATGTGTGACTCTCAGGAGGATACAGGGCCAGCCTGCCGTGCTGCTCTCGGCCACCCAGTGCACGGTCACCATGTCTGTGACAATAGGCCTTGTCTCCGTTGGCCAGAACTCCTGTGACCGGGGACCAAGTCAGAGCCGCTCAGGTGGCTTCCCAAGCTCTCTGCCCACCCCTGGTCATAGGCCCCGCCATGAGCTCCCCCAGCCCTGCCCCAACACTGAGGCTTCCCCCCACCATCGTCTCTCTGCACCCCCTCACCTTCTCCCAGGTGTCAGGCGGGCACAGGGAGACCAGCACGTGGGCCCCGTGCTCCCACACCAGCTCCCAGAACTCCCGGGGCCCGGCAGGGCCAGTCAGCACAACGTGGTCATGGCCCGAAGGCCCACCCTGTGGAGCACACGACGTTGGCTCCCAGGGACGGAGGGCACTCCCTGTCCATCACAGCTCTAGGGAGCCCCCAGAAACCCCAGCTCTAGCCCAAGAAGTACAAATGACCAGAGAGGGCAAGGGATAGGGCATCATCTCACAGAGAAAAGACAGGCTTCGAGCATCTCATTAGGGGGGCTATCCTCCACTGGAGAAAACCGCACTTGATAGTCGTCGTCTGAGGGGAGATGGGGAGGGTGAGGGTGCCAAAAGCCCTCCACCCACGCCCGTTGCGGGGGCCCACCCAGTGGGACCACAGGCACTCACAGGAGCCCGTGCTGTCCTGCTCACAGCCAGGAGGGGGTGCAGAAGAGTCAGCCACGTCGTTGATGGCCTGGAGCAGGAGCTGGCGCCACAGAGAAGGGCCTTAGGAGGCTCAGTGGGACAGAGCCCACAGAAGGGCCGGTTGGGCAGGGACAGCCCCCGCCCTGGTTGCCAGCCCCCTGGTCTGAAACACACCTTGTACTCCTTCAAGAAGCCAGCGTTGCCATTGGCCGCCCTCTTGGCACAGGCCTGTGCAAAGTTTGTCACCAAGATGGGCTGGGACCTGGGGGAGGGGTGGACAGGGGACAAGGCACACGGGGTTCCCCAGCTCCCGCTTCTAGTCTTCTCAGCTCTGCCCATGGACAGGATCGGGGGCCTGTTAGTGTGAGGGGGCACAGGTTCCCCGTGCCCCCTCACACCACAAGGGCCCCAAAGGAGCTACGACTCACTCGAAGGTGGCAGAGGGCCCTTCTAGAATCTTGTTCAGGAGGCAGCTGTGCAGGAAGATGTACTGGCTCTGGCAGGAGAAGGAGGACTGAGTCAGCTGAGGGAGCAGGGCCCAGCGCGGGAGATTTTCCAGCCTCCCACCAGCAAGGCAGGGATGGGGTGAGGAAGGCGGGCGTCTGGGAACCTTGCCCACGCTGCCGCAAGGGGTTAAAGCTGGCAGGGGACTGTCCCACCTCCCCTCTGACAGAAAGGGAGACAGATAGGGTGGCTACCTGTTTGAGCCCCCCCCCAGGTCCCCTGTGTGTCCCTGAGATTCCTTTTCCTGCCACCCCCCCCCGCCCCCCAGACCGCTGTGGCCCCGGGGCCACTCACGTCCCGCCCACTCCTTCAGGTCCCTGTGGAGCCCTCACCGGGGTCTGGATCATGAGGGGCCGGTACAGCCGTAGCGCATACACAGCATTGAACACGTCCACCGTCTGCTCCTCCTCCAGCTGCCGCAGCAGCCTTGACAGGGCCACAAAGGTGCCTGTGCGGCCCACACCCGCACTGTGGGGACAACCTGGGCTGAGTGGGTGGAGGGGGGTCCCCCCACCCCAAGGCCCCGAGCCCCGCCCCCCAGGCCCACCTGCCCTCACCTGCAGTGCACCAGGATGGGGCCGGTGCCCTGGGTGGCCCTCGCCTGCTCCCGTACCAGCTCCACAAAGGTGAGCAGGGAACGGGGGGCCTCGGGGACGCTGTGGTCCGGCCAGGTGGTGAACTGCAGCTGCTTCACCCTCCGCTGCTGTTGCTGGGCAACCTGACAGGGGTGGGGGGCGTCAAGGGGGGGAGCCTAACCCTGGGCTCCCTCTGCTCCCCCCTCAGCTTTCTTCGCCAGATCCCTGAGGGTAGGGTGGCTGATGCCTACCCCTCAGATCTGATGCTTGCCCCTCAGATCTGATGCTTCCCTTGCCCCCTTCCTTCCCCAGCCTCCTGGGTAGTCTCTGCCTCTGAGGGTGCCCAGGCAGAGGGGTGATGACGGTCCCTGGCTTTCCTGCCCTGGTCTGCCCTTGTCACAGCCTGGCAAGGCACATGAGCACGAGGGTTGTGGGGTGAGGCAGGAAGCCCTGAGCTCCACCTCTCACTGTGCAGCTTTGGAGAAAACTTTAACCTTCCTGTGCCTCCCTCTCCCCTCCCTAGCCAACTTCCCTGGATGGTGCCCACTGCCCTGTTCCCTGGGGCACGCACATGCTGCAGCTGGAATTCCCGCTTCGTCCACTCATCCTCGGGCTCCTCGGCCAGCAGGTGGACCATGATGTGACCGTGGGTGATGGGGGTAGGGTCTGCTGGCCAGTAATGCTCACACAGCACCTAGGGTCAGAGGGTCAGAGCAGAGGGGGTGGTTGTGGCTTTATCCAGATGACCCTTCCCACCATCTTTCTGGTCACTATCCCCCTGCTGAAATTCTGCTCTCTGTACCAACCCAGCTCCATGGCTACCTCGTCCAGAAGCCACTCTCCTCTGGCTGGCCTCTGGCACCATCACCCCCACACCTCTCATATGACCCTTAGGACTTCAGGGCAGCTGCTGGGCTCCTTTGCAAAACTAGGTGGCTTTATTTAGGGCTGTCTGGCCTTGCCTCACCGCGCCAGCTGGAGGATGGACCCAGCAGGCGTTCTCTCTGTCCCAGGGCCCTGCATTGAGCAGTGCACGGAGGACACATCCACTGGGATTCTTGAAAGAAAGGATGCAGAATGCCCTATTTTTGATGCCCACCCTGGAGCCATCCGTACCCCATTCTCTCTCCTAACTTCTATGCCCTTCTCTGCCTAGAGCAAGAGGAAGTGGAGAAACTGAGAAACAGCAGAGGTCAGAAGAAACGGAGTCAACCTGGGAGCTTAAGTACCTAGTCCTTCCTCCCACCTCCCTCTTCTGGGTGGCCCTGGGGACCCGCACCAACCTCTAGGCCTAACTGGCTTCACTCCTGCCTGACCCACATTCCCAGACCTAAGGCTGAGACAGCAGGAGGGCCATTCCTGTAAGGAGAACGTTTGCCACCTGGTGGCCGTTCCGGGAAACTGCAGGGCATGCTCACCCTCCCATTCTCCATGCCCACAGTCAGCATGACAATGATGTGAACTTGCTGCTCCCACACAAGCCGCCAGAAGTCCTCCAGAGTTTTCTTGAGAGGCCCTTGGGTGGCAATAAATTCCTGAGGGTCGGTGTAACCCTGTGGGGGTGGAAGACAGGAACGTGTTCCTCGGTAACCCCTTGGTCCCCCAGGCCCCAGCGAGCACACAGCAGTAAATGTCCTAGGTAAGATCTCCAGGAGGGAGATACTGTGCCTACACGTGTGCAAACACGTGAACACACGTGTGCACCAATAATTCAGATCAGGAGGGGTGGCTTCAGAGACCCTGCCACTACCGCCCTAGCATGACCTTTAAGGGGCCAGAACAACCCACACGAAAATAAGAAGGTCCTCACGTGCCAGAAATAGTGTCCCCAGTCCAACCTCTTCACCAGCCCCTTTCTCAAACCAAACTCATGTTTCTTCCATGCTCAAAATCTTCCATAGCTCCCCATTGCCCAAGTAAAATCCAGAGCCCTTAGCTTAACATTCAAGCCCCTCCTTCATCCAGACCCAATGTGCCTTTCCCGTCTTGTGTGCCACCACCAGGCAACCTCAGCGCCACACACCACCTGTACGCTCCCACCCAGCTCTTCTCTGGCTGTTCCTGCCAGCCGGAATGCCCTTACCCTCTTTTATCTCTTATCAAAATTCTACTCATCCTTCAAGCAAGTACATGTCCCCTCCTCCAGGAAGCCTTTCTTGATTCCTCAGGTAGACTTAATTTCTTCTTCTATGTGCTCTGAGTACCATGTTTGTTCCCTTAACACAGCACTTGTCACACTGAGTGGTAGAGGTGACACACTCACGCAATGCACACGTGTGCAGGCACACGCACACACACGTGCACACAGTGTGCTCCTTTGAAGCCGAGACTACAGGTAGCCAGCTCTGCCCCCGGCAGGCCCAGTACAGTGTCTGGCACACAGTAGGCCCTCAACAAATACCCACTGGCCTGACTAGAGGAACACAAGCTGGTGATCTTCGAGAACAACTGCTGGAGCTAGGGTAGGACAGTGTGTCCTGCAAAGATGCCCGTCTCCAAGCAGACACCCCCCACAGACAGCCCTGCAGGTGGCCCTTACTGGGACGAAGTTGGCATTGATGTAGTCAGAGTGGGGCTCTCCTTCCAGCTGGGTCAGCCTGACCCGGGAATGGTCATCTGCAGACGGGAAAACCTGAGTGTCCGGGGCCGGGTGGACACACGGCCCCCTGCCCGTGCCCACTGCCCTGCTCCGGCCCTCACAGGGTAGCACGTGTGGGTAACGGTTCTTCGTGGCATTGGCCGGGTGCTCCGCCTCCAGTCTGGGCTGCTCCTTGCCCACCTCCTTCAGCTCCTGTAGAGGTTGGGAAGCAGGCCGTGGCTGCTGAAGAGGACCCATCTCACCCCACCCCCAGAGAGGGATGGAGGCGGGGGTGCACAGCTGGGAGCAGGTCCAGCCTGAGTGAGGGGCCTCAGGTCCTCTCTGCTCTGAGCCCAAGGGTGCTAGCGGCCTTACCTCGAACTCCTGAAAGAAAGCCTGGTGAGCATGCGCACTCTTGGACTCATAGCTCTGCCGGAAGCTTTGAATTGGGATGGGCCGGTGGGTCCGCCTGGTGGGAAGGGGAGAGGGTAGGCCGACAGCAGAGCTCCACCCTGAGCTCAGTGGGTGGTGGGAACAGAGCCACCAACCAACCTCAGTCCTGGCAGCTCAACCTGGTCACATGGGAGCACGCGTGGACAGACAGACCTGGACCCCACCTCGGGGCTGCCAAACCCCAATGCAAAGAGACAGACAAGGGGACGGCGGGAGGAGGGCAGGACAGTCAGGCTCCACACAGGAAGGCGCCCGCCAATCTTGCAGACCCCGTCCCTGGAGCTGAGGAGGGCTTCTGTGCACAGCCGCCGCTCCCTGATGTCAGTTCAAGGTGAGGTCAACGTCAGGGAGCGCAGGAAGGACAGAGCATAGAGGGACAGATCTCACATCCCCCGAGAAGGAAAGGAGAGAAAGGTATTCAGCCCCACACCTCGCAGGTGGTTTGTCAGGGTCAAGGGCAGCACCTGAGAAGGAGGCTGAAAGAGCAGAGAGGAGCCGGAGAGCTCTGGGTGGGACACCGTTTGCGAAGGTGTGACAAAGTTGTGAAGAGACCAGGAAGGGATGCGGACCCAGGGGAGGCTGCCGGGGACAGCGGGGGCAGTGGCCTCGTGGCCGGCGCAGGGCAGGCCCTCACTGCCCAGCACACCACGAAGAGAGACGGGAAGATGCCCTCACCGCAGGTTGTAAGCTGTCAGCTCTTGGGAAAACCGAGTCTTCTCTGCCCTGCGAAGGATGGAGAGGTGCATGGGAGCGAGCCCAAGGGAGCAGGGGCGTGGGGAGCATGCGGTGGGGGGGGGAGCTCCTCCTCCCCCAGCCACGCTGGCCCCACCCACCCTCGCACTCACCTGTGCCCCTTCACCCTCCTCCAGCACAGCAGGCCCAGCACGGTACAGACGGTGAGGACACAGCCCCCCATGATGGCCACCGCCGCAGGGAGGGGCATGGCTGCCCCAGAGATGCTGGCCCGGGGCTCTAGGAAGGGCAAAGGAAAGGGTGGAATGGAGTAGCCCTTGTCCCCCTGCGGTGACAGGCCAACCTCTCCTGGACTTGAAACCTCTGGATGGAGGGCACGGCGACAACCCGCCTCTGAAGTCCCAAATTCCAGCCCAAGGCCAGAGATGGCTATCGGCGGGACCGTCCTGCACGGGGACCCAGGACGCCCGGCCAGCTCTCCCTGCCCCTGGCTTCTGAGCATGCCCCAAAGACTCTCCGCCCCTCTATGACCCTCTCAAAGAAAAGAAGAGGGTGAGGACCTGGCTTCCTAGACCTTCTAGAACTGCACTGTCCAGTATGGTAGCTAGGGGTCCACGTGGAGCTATTGAGCGCTTGAAATATGGCTGCTCCAAATTAAGATTTGGTCTAAGTATAAAATACACATAGGGGGCCGCCTGGGTGGCTCAGTGGGTTAAGCCGCTGCCTTCGGCTCAGGTCATGATCTCAGGGTCCTGGGATCGAGTCCCGCATCGGGCTCTCTGCTCAGCGGGGAGCCTGCTTCCCTCTCTCTCTCTCTCTGCCTGCCTCTCCATCTACTTGTGATCTCTCTCTGTCAAATAAATT